TCTTTCCCTATCATGGTCGTACATTGCGTAACCCGGTTAGGCGTCTCCCGTTCGAAAGAGATATTGTTGGAGGTATGCGAGATCTTTGCATATCTATGACCGTGATCTCATTTTGGATTGTCCACGTTTTTGGACAGCCAGCGGATGCGTAGATGGGTAATTTTCCATGGTTCTCCGGTCCGAGACAGAGTTTCAAGATCACCTCCTGTTGTTCTCCTGGACGCACTCTTCTTTGCCGGGACGTGTATCCGGAGAGAACAGGAGGTGTCTTGTCGAAATACATCTCGGATAGGAGTAGAGCACGGAAACTAATCTCATCTACGCATCCGCGGGTGGAATTAGGACCTATCCTCACCTATTAGACAGTAGGAACACCATGTAGATGCAATTGATGGTTACATTACTCGTTGATACATATGTTAGAGGATGGATGGCCATCAGTAGATGTACACGGGCTGGAGAAGTCAGAGTGATTACACCATGGAATGGATGAACAAGACCGATGCTTTCTTGAACAGTGCATTTGGCAAGGCTGCTAAAGGACATTGCCTAGTTTTATGTCCCTGCAGCAAATGTGGAAACAGGAGAAGGGTAAACAAGGTGGAAATAGGTAAACATCTTGTGAAGAATGGATTTACGCCGGACTACACTGGTGGGTCCACCATGGTGAAGCCCATCGTATGAGAGAGGAGGTGGTGAGACCACGGTGGAGGCTTTTGATGGCGATGCCGGGGTAGCAAACATGTTTAGATGACTTTCACCAAGGACAGTTCGATGAGGGACGTGAGAAGGAGGAGATGGAGGTAGCCGCATTGTGTGTTCTACGACATGATGGACTCCGCACGAAACCCCTTCACGATCGGTCAACGGTGTCTCAACTAGATGCCATTGGATGCTTAATGGGGTTGAAGTCCGAGTTAAACTTGAGTCGCCCCGCTTCGATAAGATGTTGGCCGTGATTGGCACCCGCTTCCGGAGGGCCACATTACGCCAAAGAGCATGTACGAGTCACGAAACTCCTTCGTGCACTTAAGATGCCGTATGAGCAGATACATGCTTGTCCAAAGGGGTGCGTCCTATTTAGGAAAGAACACGAGCATGCAAAGTTCTGTCTAAAGTGTAAATCCTCTAGGTACCTGGAGGTAGACTCTGATGATGGCCAAAAGAGGCAACTTACGACCCCCCTAAAAATCCTATGGTACCTTCCGTTCCTACCGAGGATCCAACAGCTATACATGACCGAGGAATCCGCGAAACAGATGACTTGGCACAAAAATGGCAAACGGTACAATCCTGACAAGATGGTACATCCATCCGATGGTGAAGCTTGGATCCGCTTTAATGACAAACATCGTGACAAAGCAGATGCGGCTCGTAATGTACGTGTTGCGCTGGCAACAGATGGGTTCAATCCTTATGGAATGATGGCTGCCCATACACATGTTGGCCTGTCTTCATTATCCCCCTTAATCTCCCCCCCCCCGGTGTCTCCTTTCAACGACATAACGTATTCTTATCGTTGATAATTCTTGGACACCTAGGGAGTAATATGGGTGTGTTCATGGAGCCCGTGTTTGATGAATTGGTCCATGCTTAGGACGAAGGGGTATGGACATATGATCGAGCTACAAAGACAACCTTCAAATTGCACGTTTGGTACCACTACTCCCTGCATGACTTCCTGGCGTATGGGATATTCTGCGCCTGGTGTGTTCACGGGAAGTTCCCATGCCCAATATGCAAGGAAGGTGTGAGGTTCATTTGGTTGCAGAAGGGTGGCAAGTATTTGTCGTTCGACAGACATCGTCAATTCCTACCTCTTGACCATCCATTCAGACAAGACATCAAGAACTTTACGAAAGGTGTCAAAGTGACAAACCGTGCACCGCGGATAATGACTCGTGCCGAGGTTCATGTTCAAATAGATGCTCTCGTGCCCAATGAAGAAGGTGGTTTTGTGGGATATGGTGAGCAACATATGTGGATTCATATCTCGGGCATGACGAAGCTCCCCTATTTCGATGACCTTCTTCTGCCACATAACATTGATGTAATGCACACTGAAAAGAATGTCGCCGAGGCACTTTGGGCAACACTCATGGACACTAAAAAGTCTAAGGACAACCCTAAGGCTAGAGTGGACCTGGCAACGTTGTGCGATAGACCAAACAAAGAGATGCACCCTCCTAGTCGTGGCAAGACCTAGAGAAGGCCTAAGGCCGATTTCGTCTTGAAAAGGGACCAAAGGAAGGAAGTACTTGAATGGATCCAGACACTAATGTTCCCTGATGGGTATGCAGCAAATCTAAAGAGAGGAGTGAACTTAGGCACTCTGCGAGTCAACGGGATGAAGAGTCATGACTACCACATATGGATTGAGCGGCTTCTTCTGGCGATGGTTCGAGGCTATGTCCCGGAGCATGTCTAGCAAGTGCTGGCAGAGTTGAGCTACTTATTCTGTCAGCTTTGTGCCAAGGAGCTCTCTCGGACCGCCATTGATGACTTGGAAAAAGCGGCACCCGTGTTGCTCTATAAGTTGGAGAAGATCTTTCCACCCGGCTGCTTCTTGCCGATGCAGCATTTAATTGTGCACCTCCCGTACGAGGCACGGATGGGGGGGCCGTGCAGTATCGTTGGTGCTATCCAATCGAGAGATGTCTAAAGACTCTTCGCAAAACATGTAGAAATAAAGCCTAAATTGAGGCTTCCATTGCAGAGGCATACATTCTAGAGGAGGTGTCGAACTTCATAGAGAAATACTACACTGAGAACCTTCCTAGCGTTTACAATCCACCCCCTCGTTACAATGCTAGCGAAAATGAATCGATCCTCAGCCTTTTCCAAGGGCAACTCGGAAGCGCAAGTGCATCGACCACTAAGCAATTGAAAAATGAAGAGTGGCGCAGTATCATGCTATATGTGTTGACCAACCTTGTCGAGGTGCATCCGTTCATTGGGTAAGTTCTGAACGAACTTGTTTCATTTCGCCGTATGTCCTTGTTTCTTCGTCCAACCCCCTTGTTTCTCGTTGGTACAGGGAATTTCTTCGTCAATCCTGGCATGGATCAAGGCAACCTACCCCGCAAGAAAATGATACCCTTCTTTCATGGGGTGCGGGACCAGAGAGCCCCGATTTCATTTGTTGGTTCAAACAGAAAGCCCAAATTGATGCGCCTATAAGTGACGAGCTGAGACAGGTTGCAAACGGCTGTGCCGTTAGGGTCAAGTCATTTACCGGTTATGACATGAATGGATATCGTTTTCACACAGCAAGCTACGAGCAGAGTCGGCCCAATCATGAAGATTATTTCTAATACATATAACACATATGATGGAGAGTTCTATCAAGAAGATGGGCTACAAGGGAGGTTTGACATAGACTTAACCGAAGAGATAGAAATGAAAGTAGACAATGAAAGGGATGATGATGAGGACGCTGGAGACGAGGTGCAAAATCTGAAGGACATACAAATGCTTGAGCGATTACGTTTAGGCAATGACAATGAAAACAACATTCCTCCTTCGGATAGTGTTGATGAGTTGGACAATGTTGATAGTGATGACGAGACCTATGATCCAGCTAATCTCAATCATGAAGATTATTTCTAATACATGTAATACTATGTTTTTTGTAATTATGTTCTGTTCATTTTTGCATATATTTCTAATACATGTATTACTATGTTTTTTGTAATTATGTTTTATTCATTTTTGCACCTATTCCTAATTACGTCTTGTTTTTCTTTTTTATTGCAGGTGATTGAACAAAGATGGCGGCCGACCGTCATAGGTCCGTGAACTCAATTTACCAAAGACCACGCCGGCTGTAGGAGGAGGCGGAGGGATCGGTCAGGAGGAGGAAGAGGAACGCCAACCGGAGGAGGGGGGCGTCTGCTCCCACGCCGTGTGAGGAGGAGCTCAAGGAGGAGGTGGCACCCGTGGACGAGTCGACGAGGAGCTGGTTCGACAGACGAACGAGGAGGAGGGGTCGCATGAGGACGACGAGTGCGAGGCGGTAGGCACGGGTTCCGCTTCCTCCGACTCCTCTTCGAGTGTCTACTTGCGAGGTCCCGCGAGCCTCCCACAGATTCCGCTTCCTCACCAACGCCCAGTGATTCACCCCGAAGGGCAAAAGTAAGTAACTTTATATGTTATCACCACTACTTCATATGATATGATGAAAAAAACTAATATTTTTTCTTAATCACTTGTGCAGGAACTGGGTGGTTGTGTCGGGTGGCAGCGCATGGCTAGTCAACGGCATCCTGGGTCTTCTGTGCAAGCAACACTTCCCCGGCATTGTCACGTACGCATCAAAGACGGAGCCGGCCTACTCGTTTGACCACTACGCCATCGCCCCCGATGCGGAGTACCCCATCAAGGCGCGCGCGGGTGAAGGCAGAGTTTTCGGTAAGTCTCCCTCGCACAACATTGCTCAATACGTCGCATTCCTTGGACTTTTCTTGAAATAACGAATGGATACATCACTTTTGTATGCAGACTTATTATAGATGCGAGGAGGGATTTGAGGCCAGAGCGGAGCAGGCGACTACCAAAGCCTGTAAAAAAACTAGTCACCGACATGCATCACGAGGTGCGCATCCAGGCCATCGTAACCTACTATGGGTCGAAGCTTGGAGAGAGGAAAATCAAGAAAGACGCAAGAGAGATGCAGCTGACCTGAGAGATGCAGCTGACCTGGGAGCACTGGATCTTGTAAATAGCATGCACACAGGAGTAGGATGTAGTTGGTTGGTCAATACTCTCTCGATACACATACAAATTAATATACTCCGTAGCTGGTTGGTCATTATTCTCCCTATATATATATATATAATATATATATATATAAGGCTTGCTTGCTGGGTGCTGTGTGCATCGAACCCCGGCCGGTTGGCTGGCTCACTACCACGACAACGCTACTACTACGTAGCTAGCGTCATCTAGTCCGCCACGAGCATTATATTTATGTAGGAGGCCGGAGTAATTTAATTAACACACTACATGATCATGCAGGTCGTACTGTCACGCGCAGGTCTTGCTGGGGTGTCACAACGGCGCCCTGTCTTGCAGTAAAAGGCAAAGTCGAAGCAGTTATTGACCACAGGGTTGTAGATGCCGAAGCCGTTGCAGTCGAGTAGGCGGTTGGCGCGTGACAAGACTTGCTCGGGGGGATCTGCAGCTGCCTCGACGCAGGTTTGTAGAGCCCTGTTGGCAATCACCCCAATATTGCTGCTCGCGGCATAGGACCAAGCAGGCACTGAGTAGGCGAAGTGGCTAAGATTATCCCCTTCCAGGAAGCAGTCCAGGCAGCACCAGACGACGCCGCCGCCACGCATAGCTTCACGGCACTCCCGGCAGAAGGCATAGCTTGCCTCCTCTGCTGCTCTTCCTGTTCGCTTCAGCTAGTTAGCAGCGGTTGTGGCTTCTTATATGAGACCAAAATAAATCAGCCAGAGATGCTGCTGCGGCTGTAAAGTAGACGTACCCATCACGACCGCTGCTGCTGCTGCTCCTCCTAGTGGCCCTGCTATTGCTGTTGCTGCTGTTTTTGCTGTTGCTACGGCTGCTGCTACGACTGCACGTGTGAATACGCCTGTAAAAGAGGAGGACTGCGCTAAAGGGGCGTTGAAGTGGATCACCTTCGCGTGGCTTTCGTAGATTCCTGTATGTACACTCACTCAAGTTAATACACTAAAGTACTTAATTGAATGGAACTGAAGTATGTACGTGGTAACAATAATTAGCCAGCCTAAAAAAATATTTGCATTTTTTCCTACTACCGGGTCTAGCTACCATATATACTCCCATCTCCAATAAACCACGTTGCATATGGGTACATACAGGATTTGTTATGAGAGGAAAACACTGTTGCATGACTGATTTATACGAATTAAAGTCGGCTGAATAGCTCAAGCGAACAAGCCTATACAATAGACAAAAAAATAAGAATTAATTAACTTAACTTAACTATCGCTACACACATCCCCCTGCTTCCACCTCCCGCCAGCGGCCCCCCGCAGTACCTTCCCACCAAACTAAAGCGAATATAACTATCTACTCCCAAGTTACAACTTTGTTTGTAATGTAGTTATAACTTCGTTTGTAATGTAGTTATAACCGAAGCTTATTTGATTATTATTTGAATACTACTACCCACCAACTCATCTGATACATCTCTGGCATGCATGCATGCACCGAATATTTTCATGATTCAAAATTTCAAAACACAATATCTCAAACTAATAAATAAGTATGCACACATACGCAATATGGTTTATTGAAGATGAGAGTAACTACCTCCGGGAGTATAAAAAATGCATATAGCCAAAAGAGCATAATTGATTAATTGAATGGAACTGAAGTAATAATTATCCAGCCTTAAAAAGATTGGTATCCCTCTGTCGGCTGATATTAAAGCGGCTTCTGCTGATTTGTACGGCTGATTTGTTGTGAGAGGAAAACACTGTTGCACGACTGATTTATACGGATTAAAGTCGGCTGAATAGCTCAAGCGTACAAGCCTATACAATAGACAAAAAAATAAGAATTAATTAACTTAACTAGGTCGCGGACCCAAAACCTACCAGCGAAACATCGCCAGAGTGCGAAATTGCTACAACGCCAACATTCCTCGGAACTAGTGTCACTATCTGATAACTGCAGTGCTTGAGAACACTGCTCCTTGCGACATGCCCTAGCACCACCGCCACCGCCCCCACCACCACCACCGCTGGTCCCCCTCCGGCATCTCGCCGGAGGCCGGAGGGAGTGGGGATTCATCGTTTTTAATAAGTCTTTCTAGTAGATCGAGTCCTCAGGGTTATGGTCTCTCCATGCCAAGTTTCTTAGTACTGGGGATTTATCTCCTCCTCCTCCTCCTCCTCTCTGGCGATGGCGAGGGGGCAGGGTGGATTTATTTTCTACGTAGCGGCTCTATTGAAGATGAGAGCGACAACTACGCCGTCAACAACTTTCTTGGCATGACGACATGGAGACTTTTCTTTCCGAACGGCGACATCAAGGCGGAGATTATGTCGTCGCCATGGAATAATTTTCTCTGGTCTCTTCTCCATTTTGTTGTGGTTAGATCTGGCCACGATGAAGGACTATGGAGAATAAGTTTCAGATCAGTCTTCATCATTCTTCGGTGGCAGAAAGAGTAAGAAGGAAGACACCATAAAGGAGAAGTTTCTCAAGTCCGCCCGTAGGAATGTTGGCTGTCGTTCGTTGGGCATCTGTTCTCAGGGCTTTTTACCAAATGTTTGCCTATGCGGTCATCCATACGAAGCGTCATACAGGTTTGGATTTGAGATTTAGAGCTATTCACGGCGTGGGTATAATTTAGATGAAAATCAGTTTATGGATATATGTAGAGTATTCCAGAGTGCTTATAACGTGATGACGTACCCAGCTATAATCTAATATAATTCTTCTTTCGTCCCAAAAAAAAAAGCATTCCTCGGAATTCATGCACCCAGGACAAAACTAAACTAACTTCACCTCACCCTCTTAATAAATGCGTGCTTCTTCCATTAATAAGGTGGATGGGACTAATAAAAACAATTGGTCTTACCATGATGGGGAAAGGCCTTGGCATGGCTGCTGCGCCAGGCGAAGATATGATCGCCGGGTCTGAGCTGCCACCGTTCTATACGGCTCGAGACCACCGTCACCCCCCTGTCCATAAGGAAAAATGTGCAAGCTACTACAGAAATTAACTGAAGGCAAAATGGTACAACTTTCGATTCGGATGGAAGCTATATATATAGCCGTCATGTTTATTTGGACGACGGATGGCATATATTAGGATTATGCAAATGCCGGCCAAGGCGTATCCAAATCTTTCGCTTAGAGAATATGCCATCATGAAAGATGTATATAGTGATCATATTTATTCGGATGGCATATTTTTGGATTCGGCGTGATCTGAGTCCGAGGCATATATAGGCCTCCTCCAACGGCCAGCGACGTTGCCGGCCAAAATAATAATTTAATTACTCATGAACGGTGCAAAAAGCTGCATGCTAGCGCAAAGCGAAGTGCCGGTCTCGCACGTTTCCATACGCGTCCCCACTCCCTCCCCCTCTCTCCGCACATTTCCCGAAGCACTCGCCTGCATCTGTGCCTTCTCTCTCCTCCACGTCCGCTGGCGACATCGCCACCCTACTGGAGGAGGACTTAATAGTATTATCATGCCGTGGCTGACAGGAGGTTTCTTATGGCAGCCCTATTAAGGTCTAGCTTGGCCTTTATGGGTTACAGTAGGTTATCACAAATGAATTTATTCTCGGCGGACTAGACATTTATGCATTGGGCTATCATAAATTAATTTATTCTCAGTAGCCTAGGCATTTATGCATTGGGTTATCACAGATGAATTTATTCTTAGCTGATTGACAGTTGTACTGCCATCCCTTTATGCTTTTCTTTGGCAGCAATAATTCCCTTTATATGCTTGAATAGTACATTTAGCTTGCTTACAGTCGGGCTAGGATAAGATCCGAACCTAAGGCCTCTTGCTCCATGCATAGCCTTCTTACCATCCCACATACACATCACTTCTTCACTAGATAAGGGATATTATTCTTTTGTATTCACCTCTGAACTTTGAATTGCGTATTTATTTGGTATACTCTAAGCAACCTCAATGAAAAAACTCATCAACTGCAAAAGTTATATATTTCATCCAGCTCTACAACTTCGGTACCAAGCAGTCAAAAATATATGTTGACGATGTGTTGGCGAACAAATTATAAGGACTTCACGTTCCAAGTCCCGAGAAAATCAGTTCTCTCCTTTGTCCTTCGCGGATGGACGCATGCACTGAAACGAACCGGGTTCTCTTACCAAGAACCCGACTCTCTGTTCCATTGTGGTAGTCCTAGAATTAACAGCTATCACGTACAGAACTCATCTCGGCATAGTATCACATCCATATATGGATAAACAATGTACAATAACTTGTTACATACTAAAATAATATGGAAATACGAATTTGATACAAGCCTCATGGACTAATCGAATAGAAAAGAAAATCCTATGCAGCGGTAGCTAGGGCATCGGGTCTCTTCCACAACCTTGACGTCTCCTCCATATGCGTTCCCAAGCGAAGCAATGCCACCTTCAGTCATATCACCCATCATCAGGTGGGCATTCGGTTTTCGGTTCGGTTCCACGGTTTTTGAAGAAATTCGGTTCCTAGAAAATAGGAAACGATCGGTTCTGAGCATAGTAGGACTAATAAAAACAATTAGTCTTACTATGATAGGAGTAAGTATAGGCAGCGATGTGATCGCCGAGTCTAAGCTGCCACCCTTCTATACGGCTTGACAACACTGTCAACCCCCGGTCCATATATAACAAAAAAATGTACAAGCTCCTCCTAGTAGAGAAATTTACTGAAAGGAAAAATGATACAACTTTCAATTTGGATAGGATTACATATACAATGATCATATGTATTCGGATGACGATGTATATATATATATATATATATATATATAGAATCTTTCACTTAGAGAATACGCCATTATAAAAGTTGAATTCTGCATGATCTGTCCAAGTCCATCCAGAAACAATGTAAATCTCACTTTTCGATGAGTTAATTAATCTTAAATTTGATCTCTTATATAAAAATACTAATGTCTATGATATGTAATCAAACATCATTAGACTAACCATAAAATATATTTTTATAATAAATATATTTAGATATAAAAATATTGATACCATTTTCTATAAAACCTCTAAACAATGAGGCTTATACTATTTTAATGGTTAGAGTACATTTCACTGAGTTCTAGACTCCCTCCAACAAGTAGCGACATCGCCAGCCAAAATAATATTTTACTTGATGAATGAACAATGCAAATAAACAGCGCTTAGCTTAACGTGAAGTGAAGCGCTAGTCTCACACGTTTTCGGACACCCTCTCTCCACACATATCCTGACGTCTGCTGGCGACATCGCCACCCTATTGGAGAGGCCCAATAACGTTATCATGTGCCGGACATGGTTGGCAAGAGGTTTCTTATGCTAGTCCTATGAAAACCTTTACCTTGGTCTTTATGCATTGGGTTATTATAAAAGAATTTATTCTTAACGGCGTGAGCCTACATGTATTAGGTTATCATAAGTGAATTTATTCTTAATCAATTGATGGTGGTATATGCTGTCGTTCTTTTATGCCTTTTTTTGGCAGCCGTAATTCCCTTTATAAGCTTAGTAGTACATTTGGATTGTGTTTGGTTCAGCTTTTGAAAAGTGCTTCTGCTACAAAAAGGCAAAACATCAACCAAACGGGTAGAACCTGAAGCTGCTTCTTCAGAAGCAGCTACTTTGGCATGTTACAATTTTCGCAATACATTGGACTCTGCTTTCTGCTCTCTGTTTTTCCAAATAGGTGGAAATAGAGAGATGTTTCATAGCTGTTTCAGAGAAGATAGAGAGGGGGTAGGTTTGTTGGTTGTTTCAACCAAACAGGTTACAACTTTTCCACAGCACATACCTCACAACAGTTTTTGCACAACTCACAGCTGAACCAAACAGACCCTTAGCTTGCTTGCGGTTGCAGTCGAGCCAAGAATATATGCAAATGCTTTGTTAACCCCTGATGGCGGAATAAATAACCATTTTTAGGAGGCATCTACGTACACACAACGCACTCATGGATTTACTAGGATCCGGCCGAACCTAAGGCCTCTTGCTCATGCATAGCCTTGTTACTACCACACACGGTGGCGGAGCCAGACAAGCTAGATAAGGAGAGTTGAACTAGACAAAAGATGCTGGAATGATTAAGTGCATGTTTAGTTCCTAAAATTTTACAAATTTTTTTTCAAGATTCTCCGTCACATCGAATCTTTGAACGCATGCATGAAGCATTAAATATAAATAAAAAATAAAACTAACTACACAATTTAGACGAAATTCATGAGACGAATCTTTTAAACCTAATTAGACTATGATTGGACACTAATTGCCAAATAACAACGAAAGTGCTATAGTACCATTTCCCAAAAAATTACACCAACTAAACAAGGCCTAAAAAATGGATTGAATTGTAAGTTTTAGACTCATTTTTCTATTATATAGGATTAGATTTTAGGCTTATATTTCTCTTAGAGATTCTACTAGAGCACCGGCCCTTCCTCCGCCCCAGACCAACACATGCATCACTTCTTGACTAGAAAGGTGATGCTTAAACTATCTCTCCCTCCCTTTCTAGCTTCATTCGGAGACAACATTGTGGAGTGCCTAAGGCCATCGGCCCACCGACAAAGCCCAAATGATTCAAGCATGTATGTTTGAATTTGCAGACAGCACCAATCAACACAACTAATTCAAGCATACACGTTTGAATTTGCAGACATCAATCAATCAACACAACTGAATGGAGAATGGGTGCTTCAAGTGGTCTTCAAAAGAGCTTGTTGCCTATATATGCCTGTATAGTTAAACGAATCGGCTTTAGATTTACAAACAAGAAACAATAATATAATCCTCCGCATCTTCATTCTCTTTACAAAAGAAAGCACTAGCGATGATCATCTCCTCCGTGCTCACATGCATAGTCGCAGGCTCGCTGCAAGGTGTCACCATGTGCAAGACGATGAGAGATCGTAGCACATGTAGATCGGAACACATTACACACACATTCATCGCCATGTTTTATTTCAAACAAACAAACAAAAAATCCCAAGAGTAAGAACGTCGTCTCTAACAATGAGCACGGAGACAATAGTGAAAAAAATCATATCTCAACAATATCAACTGATGTT